ATTTGATACAGTGCATCTTCTAAAATGTATTAGAAATAATTGGATAAATTCTAAGCCTGATAAAGTGCTTACTTATCCTGATTTTGAGACAGGTGAGTGAAAGTTTGCTTCATTTACCAGTTTAATTGATCTTTAACACGGAACATGACAAACTGCTTAAATTTGGATACAATTGAACTTTAAAATCGCTTTTTACTATACATTTTAAAAGACAAAATGTTCAGCTAGCTTTAAAAATAATTAGGTAATCCATTTGTAGTTCAAGCTCTTTTACAGTTTGGCTCTAAGCTTATTCGAAAGATTCAGCTGATTTTATTAACATTATATTGACTTGGTGGAACATCGTAAATGTAAAAACACCACATAAAGGGAAACGTTTTAATGATTTATATCAAGAGCCTATAACAGCTACGGCTGGAGCGAATAAATCCGAAACTTATATTTCTGGACAAAATGTTAACATGGCTGGATAATTGGAAAAAATCAGAACATTTTTCAAAAACTTTAACGCCTCAAACATCCATAGCTTTACGTCACACTATTTATGGCATGTTAGAAATCGTATCATTTTGTTTCAAGGAACTTAATATGAATTATTTGTTATTTGGGAAAATTTCAAACTGATCCTCTTGAAAATAAGTTTGGAAAATACAGACAATTAGCGGGGGATCAGAACAATATTTCCATTCGGCAATTATATGAGTGCGAGAAAAAACTTCGAATCCAGTCATTGATGTCTTTAGAATGTTAACAATAAAACATTTTTATCAAAGTGATGATATTTTTGACAACGAGACAGTTTCGAAGTCGGAATGGTTTGTCCCAAATTTACAAATTTCTCCGTGTGATTTGGAAAATGTGGAACATGAAATGCCTGTCATTACCTACCTAGCAGGATATTGTTGTTACATTTTGTCCAAGAAATTTAAATGGCAAATATGCCAGTCAAATTTAACATTTACAGATCAAATAGAAGTTGAAGACAGTCACATACTCATTAAAAATTTGAGTAGGGGTAAGCTTAAATTTCCAAAAGACTATGTAACAAATATCGTTTTGTATGGTGAACTCATTTTCAACAAAATTTTGGAATGTGATGAAGATAACTTTTTAGCAGTACACAATAAAAAGACGTTTTTGTCAACAACAACTTTACAATACATAACAGATAATCATTTGCTAACAGAATTTCCCCAATGTGATCTGCATAGTACTATAAGCTCGGTAAAGATTATCATAAATTCTGTCACCAATACTCTTTTAAATAATTATTGTGGCAAAAGAAATGACACCATTGGAAAGGGGAATAAAAGAAAGTTAGATACTCTCACTAAATAAAGTTGGTAGATTATTAGCAAGTGTATTCTTCACTATTTCAAACAATTAGAACGCTTCGGAAACATGAAATATTCAGCTATAACTAAAATTAAAATATTTGTGGCTAGTTAACTACGTTCATTTTTTAGGAACATAAAGGCTAATCATTTAAATCAAACAATGTAAAAAGCATATTAATTCCTGGAGACATGATTTTTGTCTAAAATATTCATATTCGTACAGTTGATCCATCATATACTCCGCTACGCGTTATCTCTGGTCGGACTACTTTAAGTGACGTCACAATTCAGCCAGTGGGCCATCTTTATTTCGGTATAACTGAATTTCGCTGACATTCCAGTACGATCGAGATGGAAGCGGTACAATTGACGCGCAAGAACTGGCAACCATGCTACGGGAGGACGCGGAAGTGTCCGACAAAATCGTCCGGAAACTGATCGTGTACAGCGACCGGAACAACGACGGCAAAATCAATGTGGACGAATTCACCAACATGGTGCTGGACACGAAGCTCAAGTCCCTGTTCGGACAATACGTCACCAGGTGCGTCACCTTTATGACATTTCACGGCCCCCCCTCTTAAACCTAGTTTGCAGCTACGTGGACTACGTGGTGCCCAAGAGCAAACGTCACAGATTCAAGCCGATTGGTCGAAGCGCGACCGCCACTACCCAAGATGGATTCACTGAGCCGGACGGTGCATACGAGACAGGGTACACACTGTGGCCGCCGCCGCTTTGCATGGCGCTGATGTCGATTTGCGAAATTATTTGCTTTGTCCTCAACAATCACATAACAAATGACGACTCCAAACAGTACCAGGACGCCTTCCAACCAGTGGCGCTTGCCTTGATTTACCATCCAAGGCGGCGACACGAAGCCTGGCGCTATTTCACATACATGTTTGTACATATTGGGTGCGTAATTTTTCACAGCAGACCGCCAGATGGCGCCGAAACTACCCCAAATCTCACTTTCAGATGGGCTCACCTGATCATGAACCTCATCTGTCAGATCTGTCTAGGACTGCCATTGGAGCTGCGCAATAGATGGTGGCGGGTTCTTACCGTATACGTGGCAGGAGTGGCATGTGGCTCCCTCATGACCTCCATCTTCGACCCCCATGTGTTCCTTGCTGGAGCCAGTGGCGGCGTCTACGCCATAATCACCGCCCATCTTGCCAACATTGCAATCGTTCGTTCTGAAACCAAAACATCCACGTTAGTGCGGCCGCATTTTTCAATCAATTTGTTGTAGAATTGGTCTGAAATGACGTTTCCGGCCATTCAACTGTTCATCATGTCATTGCTGATCATATGCGACGTTGCCTTCGCGGTCCACAACCGGTACCTCAGCGGCGATCAGACGCCCATTGGCTACGCGGCGCACGTTGGAGGCGCCCTGGCCGGCCTGTTGGTCGGCATTTGGGTTCTAAAAAACGTGGAACCCACCAACAGGGAGAAGTACCTTTGGTGGGCGGCTTTTCTTATCTTTTTGCTGCTAATCGGCACCGCTATCCTTTTAAATGTGTTCTGGACGGCACACTTTTTCTCAACCACGTATTAAAATCACGTCGATTAATAAATTATTGCCTGATATTTAGTCCAGTTGTATAAGTTAACTACACAACGCAGAAACTTGCAAATCTTTTGTAAAAATTTACGTAATAAAACTAGTAAAAGCTAAAAAACTTGACTTGACCCTTGAACTTACAGCAAAAGTTTGAGAAATTTGGCAACGAAGCTTCATGATTTCACACCTGAGGTTTTTATCACGAAAAAATTTAGGAACGCACTCCAGCTAGCGCATGCACGACACATTGTAAATGCGATGTTGTCACTAGTATCAGAGAGTTATTATATATATTATAGTTTGCCGTAATGACCAAGGGGGATCAAACAAGGGTAGAAAACTTCAGTTTGTTTATCGTATCTGTTCCTCGTGCTCCACTAAGCCTAGAATAATATGCACTTCAAGACATAGTAATACTCATCGGACATTGTTCTAAATAAAAATATTCTCTTTCCTCAGCCTGATAACCACCCCTGTTTATAAATATAAGTATTAGCAAAAATGTAATATTCAAGTTCATTTTCACTTGCTCCGCCTATAACGGCGGCTTCTAGAACCTCCTTCATTATAACAATTAAGCGTAAATGATCAACAGCAACCAAAATCGAATTGAAAAGGTAAAAAATACAAATACACCAACGTAAAATGATTAATAATAAATTGTGTAAGGTTAGGTTACACAATAACACATGACAGTATTTAGCATTTCCAATAACTCTCTAATATCGCGCCGCTGTAGCATTGGAAGAACGATTTACTTTATTTTACGTATTTTAATGGATAGAACGCGTAAAAACCATTCTTAGCTTACGACAGTTTGAGTTACTTTAGGCTCGAGTCAAATTCCACTAAGTTTATATCTGATAAACCTTTATGAAGTACAGTTTCACAACCATTTTGTTCGTTGACCAGCTCCGACAACTAATTGAACAAATTTTGATAAAACTAGTTGCACAAAAGCACGGAATGTCTGACTACGTAAGAATGTCGGTGCTGCCTGGCAACACCGCCGTCAACTCTTGCTTATTTACTAGTCCTGTAAAAATTCGGAAGTAATTTAAAGTCTGTTGAAGCTCATCGGCAATCTACAACGGCACCGAGATGAAGATCGCCACTGTTTTTTACCCAGCAGAAACGTTAGAAAAAAATCAACTTCCGACTCGGCTACAGTTTTAAGACCGAAAGTGCTCCCATAAAAATAAAAACGATATACTGCTAAAATACATACAGAAAACAGCCCTGGAGTCTTTAAAAGCCATGGAAAAACACCACACAACTCATATAACAACAAAAAAAACATTGCAACTATTCAGACTTTAACAAATGATTACTGTCAGAAGCGTTGACGCATATGACATAACCGAAGAATATCCACGACTACGTTCGGAAATAGCAATCTACTTACACCCAAGTAAAAGAATATCAATAAAAACTCGTTTCCACATAGCGCAATTCAACTCAATTCGCGACAAATTTACAAAGATCCATTAGTAGGCAAATTTTAAAGGCTAAAATTTAAAACTTAACTATTTAATCGTGATCATCCAACCAGCCAAGCCACGCCCAACAGTTGGCTCGCTCAATGAAAACGTCAGACCAGACAAGTATAACCTAGAAAATCGACAAATAAAAACAACATAGAAAAATGGACCAGATTAAGTCACCAAAGAGTTTCAAGAAGGTTGAGTGGACATTCAAGAGCATCGTGGACATTGCCAAGGACATAAAACCATCCGGCTGGATTGTGGTGGCCACCAGAAGCAAACTGTCCTTCATGGAACTGTCGCTGGGACAGCAGGGCCCCGCGCTGATCGAAAAGCAGCTCGTTTTAGACCACCAGCTCGAATCGGAGGCGTATTTGGGCCCCGACAAGGTCGCAGACGGCTTGTTTCCCTTCAAGCTGCACAACATACAGTCGTCAGGGGAGCTGTACGTGTGTCTGAAGCTGTTCGCCAGGTGGGTGCCTTGGGGGCGGCCATTGGACAGGGTGTGTTTGACTATCTGCCTTCCAGCTATGGGCTGTGCCAAGGCAATAAGAACTTTAAGAGGATCAACAAGAACGGCGAAGTGAGCGTAACGGACTATTGGAAAAACACAAATTGCCACAAGGTGTTCGACAAGTCGCTTAGACGGCCCGAGCACTGTTGCGACGCCTGTCTTCAGCTCAACCACATATTGCCGAAAAAGATCAACAACGTCTACTTGAGCTTGAACCAGCCCGCTCTATTCAAATCAGGTATTTGCGCAATAATTAAACCAGCCCAGGTAACGCGTTTGTTTCAGTTAAGTCCTGTTACACGCAAAAAGGCACAAGACAACGCTCGGGCAAACGGAAAAAACCCGACCCGGAGCAGGCTCTCAAAAGGCCCAAAGAGGAGCGCGAAGACGCGCTCTTCAGTACTGAATTTGTGATCGTCAAAGAGGAACCCCTGTCTGACCATTAAAATTTGACTGGCCTCACTTTCTAGTTATTTGATTGTTTCCAGTTTTGTTTCGTCGCATATATGATGTATTTCTTTCTGTTTATGACCTTTACGAAATATTTATTAGAAGTACATTTTGTTGTAGATAGACTATCCATAGTGTAATATAAATATGTTCTGTTGTATAATGATTAAAGTCGGGTTTATTTACAAATGGGTTTTATTGGCAAAAATACGCAACGCTTGATTGTTTAGAGCAAAGTCGATAAACAACGGGTTCAGTTGGAACAGTCAGGTAAAAGCACAAGTTTTGGTTTGGAACTAAAACTCAGGCTTTCATCGACTGGAAAAGACCAAAAATCAAAACGCCATGGCACACATGCAGGAGAACACTAGAGAAATTTGTACTCGGATAGGTTTTGTAGCAGTACTCGATCAGGCCCAGTAGCAGGAACTTGCTCGGCTTGCTTAGTTTGGTGCAAAAGACCAGATAGAGCAAGCTGTGGTAGTACCAGGCGTAGAACTGGTAGTGAATAGAGCGGGCGCACGCCACACCAATAAGATTCGTGACGAAGAAGGGCAGAATGAGCAGCTGGGCGATCTTGGACATGCGGTTTTGCAGCTTCAGCTTCTCCTCGTAGAAGCTCTCCTGCGAGTCTTTGGAGCGCGAGCGTTTTTGGCCGGCTTTCAGCCCCGTGCCGTCGGCTCGCTTGCGAATCCGGCGCTTTTCCTCCTCGCATTGCGAGTTAAACGCATTGGAGACGACGGTCAGTTTTGCAAAGCTGCTCAAAAACCGTCTTAGAGCCGGCATAAACACCACCAGCAACGCGACGTGCAACAACAACAGCCCCATATGGAAGTACTTGTTTTCGAAAATCTCTCGCGGCAAGAACCGGTAATTCACCGTCCACGTGTGGTCGAACACGCGCCCCAAATCGAAACTGCCCTTCAGATAGCCCAGGGGGTTCGCATAGAGAAAGGGCAGGGCCAGCACCAGCTGCACCAAGCCGCAGATGGCCAAATTGAGGAAACTTTCCCGATAGCTCAAGTTCGTTAAATAGGCCACCAACAAACAGGGGGCGTACAGCAGGATGTTCATTTTCACGCTCACCGCCAGGGAGTAGAACAGACTCCCCCATCTCCACTGGTTGGACACGAACAGGTTCAAACTGATGTAGAACAGCAGAACAGCCACGGGATCGTTAAAGAGGCGCAGCACGAAAATCGAATGTATCCTCAACGAGGTTAACGTCGCAATCATTAACGCGTACGGCGGCACTTTAGCAGTTGTCCTGTAGATGCGGTGCATCAGCACCGTCTGCAGCAGATAGAGCACCAGGAAAATGTACTGGGCCAAGTGGATGTTCTTTCCCCGATTGGTCACAAAGTACAGGGCGGAGAAGATGTAGACAAACCCGGCGGGGTACACCAGAGGTCCGGTGTCGCCTGCAAATAAACCGCCAGGTCAGCCACTGGGCCGCTTTTTTTGGCCCCCAAACCTACCTTTGAGCTGCTGGTAGTCAAGCGTCCCATTCAGGAACCCTTCCACCTCCTGCATGTAGGCCACCCAGTCGATCTCGGTATACCGCACATTCTCAATAATCAGCGCATTGCACATGGCCTCAGCTAGGAACAGCAGCAGGCAGACGGGCCCCAAATGATGCGGATCGAGCAGGAATTTCTTCGACACGTTCACGAAGCGCTTGAAAGTGTCGCGCCGCGTCGACTTTGGGGCGCTCCGTATCGTCGGCGGGGCCATTCCAGCTTTGGCGTCTTATCGAAATTGCCACATAATTTGCGATTAAGAGCATTGAAACAACGCGAAGTCGAGCTAGGTTATGTTTATTTTTAGATGGCTTATGTCACAATACGTCAGGCCCTGATGGAAGTCGATTCCCTCGAGTGAGACAAGGATGGACAGGCGATGTTACAGGGTTGTTCGCGTGGAATAGTTGCAATGGGCGGGTACAAGAGCAGAGATGTGAATATGTCAGCATATACAGGGTGATTAGGATATTGAGCGGCTGCGAGCCAGTAATTTTTATAGAATGGCACGAATGTCATGCAAGCTTTTTGTGACCTACAGGCACTTAACCGGTTTAAGTGAAATATGATAGTAATTAATAATAAACCGGTTTAGGTGAAACATGGGTTCAACAATTGAAGACGGTAGATTGGTCACCGGTTAATTGCTCTGTTGCAACGTTGCCATTTTTTCTGCCTGGAATTTCTGTAATTTTCACAATAAAAAAACATATTTGGAACTGACGATGGAAATCAGAGCGAGACGAAGTCACCCGAGACCAAATTTATACAAAATAAAAAAACATTTGGAAACGATTTGCGCAGAAATTTTACAGTCAACTCAAACCCAACGCAGCTCAGTATGACACTTGTGCCAAAAGCACAATTCACACGTAGAAAACTCGATTGACACCAGAGATGCACAGTGGGTTGGTTTAGGTTCGCTCTTGAAAAACCGTTCAGTGGAACAATAGAAAATGACATTGGTTCAGTCAATTTGACAGCCCATAGACATTTGACACGAAAATTCTAAAGAAAACGTTCACTAAGTCCAGAGAAATGCGACCCACATTCAAACGTTTGTGGATGAATCGTAAGGAAAAATGAATCTGACGTGCGTCCTGTTCACCAAATCAACATTACTAATGAGCGAATAATGAATAAACCATGTTTTCGACTTGTACATAATTTGACGAAAAAACTAGAGTTGGTCGCTTCCATAACGCGTTTCTATTGTTTGCGTGTTTATGAGTCGTATGCAATCTGTGCATATTAGTGAGGAGGCAAATCCCGCTTTTTACGCACATTTTTCGCGTTTTCAGGTAAAGTTGAAAGTGTTCATGTTGCTGTTTGATGCATCGCATCAAAGTGCAAGTTGTGCACGTTTCAAGATGAACCGGTTGCGGTTACGCCACATTATTATCTCATTGTTTCACTTGCCTATTTACGGTGTTTCATGCCCATTATCCTTGCGCTAAAAAAATCCTGCCGTCTAAATCGCTTTTTTACTGCTCAGTGGAAATACGACCAAACTAGACCCAGTTTTGCTTGGCAGACGAAAAATCACTGTTTTTCGGCCACGGTGTTTAGTGTCCAGCTCACTTCGCCATAAGCACGATTTCCCAGAAACTGAGAAAAAGACTGGGGGGGCTATTATAAGTAAATAGTTTTCGATCATTCTAATGGCTGGCCAGTTGCGACGTTTCCAATTTGGTCAAAAATTCTCAACTAACTAGTTTTGCACCATTAATAAGGAATATTTGCATTGGAAATGACCGCAAGTGGTGACCGCTAACAAGTGAGTACGACCATAAACGCACCACACGAGCGGCGACGTCTAAGTGAAAAGCGCGCATTCCGCTAAAACAGGGCAAAAATTGTCGATTTGCCTTAATTCGCCTTTTGCTATCGAAATCATTCCAAGTGTCCCGGAGAGTGCCGAACAGTTACACCGATTTTTCGCACCAAACGGTTTTCCACGCAAAAGTAAGTAGCCTCTAGATCTAGTAATCTTCCAGTGCATTGTTTGGGAAAATTACCGATTTGTAGCTGTTCCTGGGCCAGTCTGCGGGTGGCACAACCAAGAAACCCCTTGCTTATTTTTACTCGTAAAATCACCTTGTGGTTTTGTCAAAACCGACTGAAAAGAGGATACTTTTTCCTAAAAACGCTTAAAATTCCAATAAAAAATCAGTTTTCGCTGAATTTTGGCAAACGTCCACATGTAGGCACCGCCGCATTATTCCGCTCGTTAATCGGCTCAACAAAGTCATTTTCGTTCCAATTAAAATGACGCTTGCTACGCCACTGGTTAGAGCATGCTTTCCTCTTTAATTGATGAACGTTCCAGTGCAACTGGGAGTTTTTTTGATTTTCGGCAATTTTTCACCCCAACCCCTATACAGGGTGATCCAAATTTGACACTTTGAGAAGGCATTTTTTACCTCCGTAATTGTTAGTGCTTTCAAAAAAGTAGGGTTGATGTCAAGTGCCTTTTTTAGATCAAACCAAAAATCGGAAAAACAACGTTTTGCTCTCTGAAGAGATACAAAAGCACTATTGCCTTTGTTGCTTCAAATTAAAATATACAGGGTGTTCAAGTAAAAAATGCGCTTAGATCGGAGAACTTTTGTGTCTGACCCCGTATACTTTTTCTGATAATTACTTCACACCTTGACTGAGATCCAGCAATTGTTATTTTATTCTTATCATTCCTGGGTCTCAGTCAAAGTGTGAAGTAAAAATTTAAATATCCTTTATTTCACTACGTTTCGGCGAGACAACCGCGCATCATCAGATTTAAAATTTACACAAACTCATAATTGGTAAACATTACGTTCTTTTAGGTTTTTGCACCTGCAAACCTAAAAGAACGTAATGTTTACCAATTATGAGTTTGTGTAAATTTTAAATCTGATGATGGCGCTGTTGTCTCGCCGAAACGTAATGAAATAAACGATATTTAAATTTTTACTTCACACTTTGACTGATACCCAGGAATGATAAATATAGAATAACAATTGCACGCAGTCAGGAAAACCAAAAAAATTATTCTGATAATGGCGGCTTATTCAGCAATTATTCTAACGAAACTTTTGCAAAAGACATTTTTCAGTATCAGTTTTAACTGAGCAAATATAACGGCATTTAGGCACTAACTATTTTCAGACTTCCCTCTGTACCTCTTAAGCGAGCAAAAATTTCCAAATTTTGACATTTGACCAAAAATCAACGAATTGACAACAGGGCCTCCACCACGAATCACATCAACGTCAAAATGACATTAGGATGTCATTCGCAAATAGCCACGGAAATCATAGTAGGCCACATAAGGTGTTTGACGTCGAATTTGTGCAGCGTTGCAACAAACTTAACCGGCTCCAATCAATCATTTATTGCTGTTTTGCAACATACGCGGCGAAATGGGATTAGTTGCAGAATTTCGCTACCGAACGGCGATTTTTCCGCCAAAAAAAAATCGCCAAGATAGGCGGTTTGCTAATTATGGCGCAAGTGCGGGTATTAATGAGTATTTTGCGCGGAATTATGTGGAGCGACGAAACCCGAATTTATGATCCGTTTGGCCATCGGTCAGGATAAAAATCAATCGGTAACGGATAGAAAGAACAGGATCAAAAATTGCTATTCAATATCACCGTCGGAAATTGTCAGTCGATCGGTCACGTACGCTCTTCGGTGTTCTTTCCATACATTAAAGTCGATCGATTACATTAATCGATCGGTAATGAAGTCAAGCACTGAAAAGGAAGTTTTCAAAAATCTCTTAACAACAGTTGAAACAATAAAGTGCGATTTTATAAATAATAAAATCTATAAACGGCCCAATTCGGCTTTTGCATTTTAAGCGCACCATTAAAATGGCAAACGAAAGTAAAAACGCGAGATCACATAACGCATAATATAACCAGTTAGAAGCGAGTAGTGAAATGCGAAAAATACCAGTAAACGCTTTACTGAGCAACAATTTAGCCGATGGCAAGTAAACTGAAATGCGACCGAATGAAAAATTCACAATTTGCTCCAATTAACCGGAACATTATTCATATACAAACCGGGCAAAAACAAACAAGTACAGTCAGTCCCAAGCTTTTTGGCAGTGACGTCATTATTGGAGGGCAGGCTCGACGGATTAAGAATAGGGAACGTTCCACAATTGAACTAGAATATTCGAGTGTTGCCAAACGACTTAAAGCAAGCGCGACGCCCCGTAATCAGTGTTAATTATTGGGTTTAAATCGGGTTGTGTTGATTAAAGTGTGCTCACAAACAGAGCGAGTTTCTCAAACCTTTCGAACTGTGAATGCCAAAAAGCTTGCAACCGTCTGTCAGGGGAACCTCCGGTTGCCGAACCTTTCAATGACATTTTCGAGATCCATTGACAGGACAGACACAACTTCAGCTGTCACTTAAAACTTTTCCACCCGGAAGGAATGAAGTTTTTGAACAACTGACAACATTGAACGCCGCCATTCTTGGACCATCAATGCCGCTGGAACTTGACCGGATGCAAAAAAAAATCTCCTTAATTACCAACTGACCGATTGCCATCAAGTCTATTTCTACATATTTAAACGGCATGAAAATGATGAATTAATTACTTCATAGACATTTCCTTTCAATTAAGTTTGCAGTTTGCACGCGTGAAGGGCAATTTTCAAAGACACACTTATCATTATCATCTTCGCAATAATTGAGGAATTTAAATTTCTCTATTTTGATTTTTTTCCCTCCTTGCGTGTAATTGTTATTATATTCTTTATATTCCTGGGTTTCAGTCAAAGTGTGAAATAAAAATTTTAATATCGTTTATTTCATAACGTTTCGGCGAGACAACAGCGCCATCATCAGATTTAAAATTCACACAAACTCATAATTGGTAAACATTATGTTCTTTTAGGTTTTTGCACCTGCAAACTACTAGGGTTTCCGTGGCTATTTGCGAATGACATCCTAATGTCATTTTGACGTTGATGTGATTCGTGGCGGAGGCCCTGTTGTCAATTCGTTGATTTTTGGTCAAACGTCAAAATTTCGAAAGTTTTGCTCGCTTAAGAGATACAGGGGGAAGTCTGAAAATAGTTAATGCCTAAATGCCGTTATATTTGCTCAGTTAAAACTGTTACTGAAAAACTTTTTTTGCAAAAGTTTCGTTAGAATAATTGCTGAATAAGCCGCCCTTATCAGAATAATTTTTTTGTTTCCCTGACTGCGTGCAATTGTTATTATATTGTTATCATTCCTAGGTGTCAGTCAAAGTGTGAAATGAAAATTTCCATATCGTTTATTTCATAACGTTTCGGCGAGACAACAGCGCCATCATCAGATTTAAAATTTACACAAACTCATAATTGGTAAACATTACGTTGTTTTAGGTTTTTGCACCTGCAAACCTAAAAGAACGTAATGTTTACCAATTATGAGTTTGTGTAAATTTTAAATCTGATGATGGCGCTGTTGTCTCGCCGAAACGTTATGAAATAAACGATATGGAAATTTTGATTTCACACTTTGACTGAAACCCAGGAAGGAAAAGACTATGAAAATAAATTTCTCTGATTGCCCCATTCCAGCCCAACATGGACATTTACGAGCAACAAGGACAGGACATAACGGCATCCGATATGCTAGTGCCAGACGAGGACAGCGACATCAAGCGCTTCTACAAGGATTCGTGCGTGTTTATCACCGGCGCCACTGGCTTCCTGGGCAAGCTGGCCGTGGAGAAACTGTTGCGCATCTGTCCCGACGTGAAGAAAATCTTCATTCTGCTGCGCGAGAAAAAGGGCAAAGACATCAAGCAACGCTTCGAGGACATCTTCAAAGAGCCCGTAGGTGAAACACGCAATGTCACTTGTCAGTGTCACTTGTCAATCATTGCTTGCAGACATTCGACCACTTGAAGCGACATAACCCGGATTTCCTGCAAAAAGTGTGTCCGGTGGTGGGGGACATCAGCCTCCCCGACCTGGGCCTGAACGAGCTAGACAAGGAAGGCCTGATGCGCGAAGTCGATTGCGTGCTGCACTTTGCCGCCACTGTGCGCTTTGACGAGTCATTAAAGATGGCCACTTACATTAACGTCAGGGGCGTACGCGACCTGATTTTGCTGGCCAAGCAAATGAAGAAACTGCGAGTGAGCAAATGCAACACTGCAGGAAAAATCGACTATGCTTAAACTGTACATTTCAGGCGTTCCTGCACGTTTCCACGGCCTTTTCAAACTGCAACCGTCAAGAAATTGACGAAATGTTCTACGATCCACCAATCACAGGCGACAAACTGCTCGATCTGGTCGAATGTCTGGACGACGACCAATTGAATGCCATCACCAAAACGTGCGTTTACACCCCAAAAAAATGAAAAATCGGTGGAATTTGACTAAAAAACTTCGAATTAATTCGACTCCCCAGCTTGCTGGCCATAGCCGTAGTTCAGACTGGTTTTAATCGCTTTGTTGCAGTCGCAAGGGGTCATTTGCGGCGTTGTCATGTTCACGATTTTACTAGGTTTTCTTGTAATTGCCTCGAATTCTCAATAGATTTTCCCTGGCTTTATAGCGTTCTGAAAGACTTCCCCAACACGTACGCGTTCACCAAGTGCGTGGCCGAGGACGTGGTAAGAAAAGAGGGCCAGAGCTTACCGATCGCCCTGTACAGACCGTCCATTGGTAAGAGCGCCCCCTTATTGGGGGAATTTGATCAGTTTTATGGGGTTTTTTCTTAGTTATAGCGACAGTGAAAGAGCCGGTGGCCGGATGGATTGACAACGTTTATGGGGCCACGGGGGTGCTTTTGGGCGCGGCCGTCGGCCTGCTCAGAACCCTGCATGGCAACAAGGAGAAAAGGGCAGAAATGGTGCCGGCCGACTACGTGATCAACAGCTGTTTGGCTGCCACCTGGGATATTGCCACAATCAAGTACAGTGAAACTCATTTATCCATTCTCGAACGTAGCTCGCATCGGTAGTCTCACTCGCACCCATAGGGGTCTATGGCTGGCGCCAGCCTACCGGACTGGGCTGCGTTCGAAGTTGCCACCTTCACGCCCAGGATTATCCCAGTTTGAGCGGGCGATTTTTGGAAAATAATTGGTTTTTTCATGGATATGTGGGCAAGAGTCTGAAATTTTTGGAGATTTCAGGTCGTTGAACGAGAACAAAGAAATCCAGGACCAAGAGAGCAGAGAGGAGAAATTTGTCAGGGAAATCCCGGTTTACAACTATGTGAGCACCCCGGAAAACCCGCTCACTTGGGGTAAGCGAGCCCCCTTTGCCCACATTGCGAATGAATAAATGGGCGTTTCAGCGGAGTTCAGCCATTTGTCGAGAAAACACTGTCTGCAAATCCCCTCGGAAAAAGTGATGTGGCATTCGATGTTCCGGATGCGCTCCAACTACTACGAACACATGCTTGCCGTCTTTTTCTTGCACACCATTCCGGCCCATTTGGTCGACTTTATCCTGCTCTGTCTAAGGAAGAAGCCCATGTAAGGGCAAACAAAAAAAGGCGACAAATCGCTGGATTAAACATTTTCGATTGGTTCAGGCTGGTGGACGGGTACAAGAAGATCAACAAATTCAGTGGAGTTTTGGCGTACTTCACCAATCGCGATTGGAAGTTTCGCAACGACAACGTGCAAGCGCTATGGAAACGCATGAAGAAACACGATCAAGAGCTGTTTGACTTTGACATCCGGAAGCTCAACTGGGACGCCTATTTCTTCACCTACACGCGAGGTGATTGTTGGACAATTCCCCTAATCATTTCATGCAAAAAACGCTTTTTTAGGCGCACGTGTTTACCTGCTCAAAGACCCCCTGGACACGATCCCTCAGGGAACTGTCAAGTACTACAAGTTGCTGCTTGCGCACTATGCGGTTTTGGCGGTGTTTTGGCTGCTGGTGCTCCGATTGGTCGTCTGGGTCTTCATCTAGCTTCAACTGGCCAATCCCGATTAATTATGTACAAAACCCTTATGCCTGGTTGCACCGTTTGACTAAACAGTGATTAAAAATTTAGTCGTCGTTTAGCTTGAAAAATGTGTTGTACCGTCGCTTAACCACTGTGTTGTGTATTCTAAACAACGATTATATTAACCGGCACTTTTTGGCTGTTTAACACCCGATTAGGGACCGTTTAGAAAATTTTCTTGATTTTTTTTTATTGCGGGTGACAGTGGCTATGGTCTTACATCCTATTTGTTAGCCCCTTTAGTTAATGAGAGCCGAAAGGGTACTAATAATAAGCCCCATATCCGAACAGGAAACGTGATCGAAAGATGTTTTGGAGTTTGGAAAAGAAGGTTTCCCTTGATAGTAAAACTGAAGACCGCAATGCACATTATTTGGGCAACTGCAGTTCTATATAATATGGCAAAAATATGGGTGAAGAAGATTCTCTTTTGCTTGCAGATATTAATGAGGAGCTAAACTATTTAATTGCTGTTAGGGAAGCAGTCAACTTGTAAATTATTATTTTCCTAGGCTTTAAATTACGAAGGAAATATACCTTTGGAAGTAATTCCTATTTTTAATACCTATTAGGGTGAGTTGCACTATAAAGAAGTTTCTTACGTGGCCTTTGACCTAGTACGGAGTTTTAAATTTTAAGTTTTTCCAATAAAAATTAATATAAACACCCAGTTTAATGTCAAAGGAGATTAAGTTTTTTCTTTTCTACTTCAATTTGTAAATCTACTAATTGAAGCTTTCGCTTTCTTTCACATTCAATCATTAACAATTCCTCTTCCAATTTCTTGTTGTGCATCTGCTAGTTCGATTCAGTCGTAACAACGCGAGTGAGGAAATTCGATTAATTTTAACCCAGAAAGCGAAATTTGAATATCACTTAGGTGCAAGATTATGCCAAAATTCCATGTTTTCCGTCCCGTTTTTGCTCAATTCTCGGAGGCAAAATGAGGAAGAACCCTCATTTTTACATCATTCTAGACAGAAATAAATGGCCTTTTTAGAAAGTGAACCATGGATGGGGAAATGTTGGCAGTTTTCTCAAAAAATGCTTGAATTCAAG